ACATGAGCGCTGAAGATGTTCAGACGCAGAGCTACTGAAGTGGTCTCTCTCGTCAGTCTCTCAGAGGCCAAAGTTGCAGAGCGTCAGAAATTCCATCTCAGTGTCGACATACTTGGTCCAGAGATGCTTGTACTGGTTGAAGGCGACGTCCAGCCATGGCTTCATGTTCCCGTTGAAGTGTATCACCGCTGCTCCACCGATGTCCTCGGGTCTGATGTGTGGGTTGTAGCCGAGCCCCATCACGTGCCATGACTTGTCCAGCGGCTTCGTTTTGCCGTAGAATGTCATGAGCCCGACTGGAAGCACGGACGTCGGATCCCAGAGCGTGCCGTTCTCGTTCTGCCACGAAGACAACGTATATGTAACTTGAACACGTTAGAAATCCGTTCAGAACCCTAGAGAACTGCTCCCATAAAATTCCTGCGTTTCCGAATTCGTCAACGCAGCAATGGTAGAGTCAGCTTACCATTTCCATGAATCGGTGGAACTGCTCGGTGCATTGCTCCCGGCGCCACGCCTGGAGGTCGAACACGTTGACGCCGTAGGACCAGGCGCAGGCGCGGTGGCTGAAGCTCTCCTGCACGACGGGTTCCGAGAAGTTGAGGTACTTGCCGTACCGCCGGAAGCCTCCGAAGCAGGTGTGCAGCGCGGCGTTCACGTTGGCGCCCATGTCGACGCGCCACAGCCCCGCCAGGTCCCTCTGCACCACCACGTCGTCCTCCAGGAGCACCACCCTCCGCAGCGCCGGGAACATCTCCGGGAGGTAGAACCGCAGGTAGTCCAGCAGCGCCACGTCCCTGTTCCCGTCCTCGATCTGCCTGAGGACCGGCGAATAGGTCGCGTTCAGGAACGGGAAGTCGGAGACGGACAGGAGCTGCACGTGCGCGCCCAGCGGCGGCGGGAGGCGCGCGAACCAGACGCGGAAGGCCGGGAGGTACATGGGCGCCGCGACCACGTGGAAGACGTGGCGCGACGGCTCGGCGGCCGCGCGCGCCGCGGAGGCCACCACGACGGAGACGGCGAGCACGTTGTCGGAGAAGATGGCGTAGTGGTAGAGCGACGGGTCGGCGAGCTGCGGCGGCGGGACGGGGGGTTCGTCGGGGACCGCGGAGGCGTTGGCGAGGCGGGCCTCGAGGAGGCGCATGGCGAGGCAGTGGAGCGACTTGGGCGTGGACCACGCGGCGATGCGGGAGTTGAGCACGCCCGCGCGGCGGGCGCGGAGGAGCTGCTGCCCCACGGCAAAGACGGTGTCGGAGAGCTTCTGGATCTTGGACTGCGTGTCGAACGCCTCCTTGGCGCCGCCGGCGAGGGAGCGCCCGCGCTTCACCTGGGCCTTGATCTCCTTCTCCAGGGCCCCCACGGTGGAGAGCGAGAGGCGGGCGGCGAGCGCGGAGAGGCGCGAGGAGATGGAGAGGAAGGCGTCCGTCTGGGAGGCCGACGCCGCGCTGAGGTGGCGTGCGTGCGCCGTGTAGGCCGCCAGGACGGCCGCGTGGTCCTCGACGTGGCGTTGGACGATCGCAAGGCGCGAGGCCGGGGAGTTCGCGGCGGCAGAAGCAGAGCTGGTGGCGGTGGCGGACAGGAGGAACGACACGGAGGCGAGGAGGATCAGGGTGATGACGGCCGCGAGCGCCGCGCGACGACGTGCCGAGGCCCGGGCGCCGGCCATGGCGAGCGCGTCGTGCGAGTTCGAGATGGCCGGGACGAGGAAATGGCGCGCAATGCTTTTCAAGCAGGTGGGTTTGGTTTAGTTGCGCCGTGGCCGATCAGATGTGGACTTTTGGAGTGGGTTTTCTCCGGCATGTCCGGTTGGCTCGCACTTGCTGGCCTCGGAGCACTTGGAGTTAGCTGGTGGTCTCGAAGTTGACCGTGCGTATGTGCCAAGAAGGTTAGTGCGGTGGAGTTCAGACTTGGAGCCGATGTTGCTGCGTCACGTAGGTCCGGTGCTAAGTGCTGACATTGTCCTGCCCGACCGTCAGCTTGCATGGCTTAGATGGTGCATTTGACAATTGACATTACTAATCAATACATGTGTTAAAGTATTGGGGAGCAATGATTCTGGTATATATATATATATATATATATATATATATATATATATATATATATATATATATATATATATATATATATATATATATATATATATATATATATATATATATATATATATATTCTGATGATCTTAGATGTCTTGGCTAGCAGTGGCGTGTTGAGGGTTGCCTAAGAAACACTCTCAAACAAACTGTACTGCTGAACTGCACATGATCTCCCCCTCGTGTTGCCCTCTGCTAGAACAGAGAAAGGGCGGAGGTGCATTCTCCTCAAAGTGAATCAAAGGATCCAAAACGAAGCAAAATCCCTCCAGCTTTCTCACCTGTTTCTTGCTAGTTCGTGCCGCTTTGCACTATCAGTAATTTCCTGTCATCCCTTCCACCAGTTCTCTCTCTTGTGATCTTTGCGAATGAATCTGCCACTGCTCGGCTGTGCGCTCGGCACCACCAGATGCTCGGATGCCGGATGGTGTGCAGGCTGCGCGCGCTAGCCGTCCGAGTACACCGGCGGCCCATGCGTGCAGGTGCTGAGGTGCAGCGTGCAGGGCAGTGGTGCTAAACTGCGTAGACGACAGCTACAAAATTGTGGGCATCTTAATGCTTCAGCGAGCGTCCGTCCATCCGGACGTTCCTCGACGGGCCTGCGCACTACCGCAAAGCTTAACATGCCGTCTCCTTATCTCTCTTAAAAATATCTCCCCCACTCCACTCGCTTATCGCGTGCTTCACCGCACTGTGCGGCTATCCACTCGCCCCAATCCACATCGCCGCCGCGGCCATCTCCTGGCTCGTGCCCCTATACTACGCCACGCGTCGCGCCACTCTTCCTCGTCGCCGCGGCCATGTCCCCGCGCGGGCACCCATCATGCGCCGCGCCGCCCACCTTGCCTCGCCGCGCGGCCATCCACCACTGTGTCGCCCCACTCCGCCTCGAGGTCACGGCCATCTACCGTCGTGCCCCACTCCGCGCTCGCCTATCGCGGCCATGGCGTGCACTGCGCCACCACCACCCCGACACCACCAGGTGAAGGTTGTCGCCGGCGGGACATCGTCTCATGCGGTTGGCCGAAGACACCGCGACAGGAAGAAGCATGTTGCAAGCGAATGTTTCACGTGTTCCAGATGTGTTCAGAGGTATGTTGCAAGTGATGCATATGGATGCTGCAAAAGTAGATTGGGATGTTGCACATATTGCGATAGCTATACACGTATGTTGCAAGAATTTGTTTCAAAATATTTCATCTATTTTCTATGTTGTAAGTGTTTTATCTAGATGTTGCATATGTGTTTCACACAGATGTTGCAAGCATTTGTTCAAAATATTTCATATATTTCAAACGCATGTTGCATATGTTTCATACAGATGTCGCACACGTTTGTTTCAAATGTTTTATCTGTTTTAGACGTACGTTGTAGCAAGCGTTTTTTTAGTATTGCAAGTGTTTTTATGTTTCAAGCATTGAATGGGATGACCAGAGTCACACGACGCACATCTGCAGGCGGGGGTGTGAGCGTGATATGGAGCAGGCGCAGGAGGTCCCCGCGTGCACGATACGGAACAGGGGCGCGGTCCTTGCCGGCACGAGCGGAAACATGCAGTCCCTATGTGGGAGCAGGTGGTGCGATGCGGGCATGAGAAACGGAGATGCATGCAACATGGGATGTAGGCGTAGACGTCCGAGCGCTAGCATCTCCGCATCTAATAACAGCGATAAAGATGAATGACATAGAAATAAATTTTCTCTGGCTTCATCATTGCGTGCATTCATGGTGTCCAAGCAGCAATAGATGCCGATGTGGGTCATGTTGTCGTGGAGACGGACGCGGCTGAAGTGGTGAAAGCGGTGTATTCTGAAGCTTATGATTTCAGCGCGATGACACCCTCATCCACGAGTTCCATAGCTTGCTATTTGATAATTTCATCTCTTAGTTTGTTAAATATTGTCCACGATCTTGTAATAGGGTTGGCCATGAGCTGGCGATTCTAGGTAGTGCTCGTGCCCCGGATGAAGATCCAAATCTGGACTCCATTTCGGCTTGTATACTTGCTGATGATTCAGCCGTTCTCGAGTAATGGAAATAGCTATTTCTCTATAAAAAAAAACTCTTATTCAGGGACGGAGACAGTAAATGGCATCAGGGGTTCGGGCTTACTTAATTTTGTTGGGCGAGGCCGGGGTTAGATCCAACGCTGTATTGGTCTTGGTCCTACTACATCCTCATCATCCCAAATTTAACCGGCCCAAAACAAATCTGGCCCGAAACGGATCCTAAAGAACAGACTTCCCCAATTTTCTGCGCGGTAGCGACCAAGACGCCAGCCAAGTAGCCAACTGCTCCTCGGCCACGAGATTGCGGTTTCGGTACCAGATTACGGATTACCAGCAACTCCGTGACCGCGAGGCAATGCGGCGGCCGGTGCTAAAACCTCACAGCCTTGCAGGAGGACACCGAGTCGATGGCCTGGGCGTGCGCGCCACCCGTTCGGCCAAATGCCCACGAGAAACCTCGCATTTACGCGGCAAGTAAAGTAAGCTTCCTTGAGTTATTACTGCCATAGTGCCATACGAGAGTTTGATCCACGACAGTAGCTCCCATGTTCTGAAACCAGGGTAGAGGAGAACTGGTGGCCGGGTCTACTTTATTGGGCACGCAGAACTTCAGTGCATGGAACCATGGACAAAACTGAAGCTAAGTTAGACTTGCAGTCTTAGAGAGTTGCACATGAAACGCGAAGATCGGAACTGCTCCTACATTACACAAAAGGTACTAACTCACACAAATGCATCCTAATAACTCTGCTAGCTTCGCTGTTAACAGAACGAAATTCTAATACTCCTCCATGATAACAGCAATGCTAGCAGATGGAGGTAGAAGCTCCAAAAGGTGAATTAGGTACTACTGTCCGCTGCACTATAAAGCCAAGCCTACATTAGTACAGAATACAAACTAAGTATAGCACTTGGTCGACTGGTAATTTGTTGAGACCTCGGTTGTGCAAGGGAGAGAGTCCCAAGGCAAGGTCGTCCTCCAGTCATCTGGCAGCGCTCCTTGCAGGTTGAATGGGAAGTTGATTGACCGTGGAGCGGCAGTGACACTGTTGCCAATGTCAGGCAAATCAACCGTGCATCTGTTGGCCATGCTGCTGCTGTTGCTGGGGTGGTGTGGTTGACCAAACTCAATGTTTGTGGGAATCCTATCTAGGTTCTGGAGTGTAATGGGTGATGCATTGAGGACCATTGATGCAATGTCCATCCCAGCTGGAAGATCAAGCGGGATTGCTGAGAGGACACTCATGGTGTGATGTTCTGCACCAGATGAGGGGTGCACAAGGGATGCAGCCGGCCTGCTGCTGCTGTCAATGATGCTCGCAGGGTTGCGGCAAGAGGAAACTATTGAAGGCATGTAACTGCTGCCAGTGAACTGGATGGAGGAGATGATGTCTGTCATCGTAGAGGATGTGTTCTCTGAGCTGTGATGACTTCTCTGTGTAGCCTGTGAGGAAGGCCGAGTGTAGTTTTCATTTGTGCTGGATAGTGGAGGAGATACCCAGGAGTGCGAGAGAGCTCTCTGTGCTGTTGAATTGGTTTTCTTGAAAATCCTGCAGATCGCCCAGGAATCCTGTTCATACAAAAGGAAATTAAGTAGGGCTGGTTAGTGGTTTTCATATACAAGGTAATTTATATCTTCTATTTCAGCAATATACACATGCAAAAGGTACAAATAAACTGCATCTCATTGTCCTAAAATGTGCTATGTTTTAACCATGTCTAATGCTATTGACACTTCATGCTGCAAGTTATCTCGATGAAATTTTTGCCGTACATGTAGAATCCATTGATTTTATGATTGGTTTAGAGGGCGTACCCCACAATGAGATACACCCCTAGCTTTGTATTAAGTAAATAAATGGCTACTGTTTCTTTCTTAAATATTACATCATGCAAGTTTCTTACATTTGGTGGAATGGTCTTCTCCAGTGGCTTCTTCTGCGGCAGTGATGGGTCAGTGAGTGATGGCAACCTGAATTCATGCATCATCCAGTCGGTTTTGACACCTTTGGCTGCTCTACCTTTGTAGAAGACAAGAGATTTCTTCAAGCCTATGCACTTGCTCCCATCAGAAGAGTAGATTGGCCTGTCAGTTCCAGTGGCCTTCCAGAAGCCTGCTCCAGTTACCCTGTTTGGTCTTGTGCTGTTCCGGTACTTCCTATCCCTTGGACAGTAGAAATACCATTCCTTCTCTCCAGTACTCGCTAGTTCTTTATGGAGAACAAGAGAGAGAGAGAGAGAGAGAGAGAGAGATATTTTGTAAGTAACTGTATGTAAGATTCATGCTGTCTTTACTAGTTACGACCAAAGATCCCAAACTTAGGGTTCAATATTGAAGCCGAGGTGTTTAACTGATAAGATGCATTACACATTCATGTGTGCAAATATAATCTATGTCCAGCCTACATGCACTCTTAACTTTGATAGCCGAGGCCTGAATCAGTTATACAGCAAAACAACATACAACTGAAAGCATAAGCTCAGCAAGAACTTACAGGTTTGTATAGGCTCACAGCCGGTTATGTGATCACATAAAGTTTCTTTAACACCGAGACAAAACATGGTAAATACATTAGGACAGCAAGCTTATATTATGTTGGTTTGTGCACACCTTACTATTCATGTTAATGGTATTTAACTCTAGGACTAGTTTTACCTCATCTACATGAATGTTGTATAATGCCCAGTATTGCAAGTAGACAAAACCTCAAAGATACAGACGAAGTAACAGATGCATGTAAAAGTTTTTAAAGATTGACTAAGATTCATAGTATCAAAACATGTCCCACGTTACTTGTACAGAAAGGAGCATCATGTAGCAAACTAGGCTTATCTTAAAACAAACAATTTTCTTAGCTCTTTAAAGATTTGTGCAGAGAAATATGACATAGTTAACAAGGGGAAGAGATGCACAGAAGCTTACTTGGGAGATCCCATGGATCATATTTGTAGATGTCTAGCTCCCTGATGAGCTCAATGGGGAGAGACTTCTGCTGGATTTTTCTTTTAAGGTAAAACCTGACAAGCTCTTCATCTGTTGGATGAAACCTGAATCCAGGTAACATAACTTCATCATGCTTCTCTATGTCATCACTTCTGATCTCATCCATATGTTTACACAGTAAAACAAACCACTGGCTGGATGCTGTATATCTCAAGCAGCGGTCACCTGCTTCTAGTTACAAGAAGTTACCAGCTACAAACGGTAACGGTTAATCTGTATGGTCAAATTTCACTCGATGGGCAGTAGCTAAAAGATTTTGGTTTCTGCTGATTACTGGAGCTAAAATGAACCCTTTCTTCCACTCACTGTGGGACTACCATATATTTCTTCGGAGCTAAACAAGGTGGGTATCTAAGCACTGGCTCTGCTCTTATCAAAGACTAGTTAAATTTGGAGAAAAGCTAGCACAAAAGCTCAGAGAAGAAAGAAGCGAAGCTTTAAGTTGCAGACCTTCCTACTATTTGGCTAACCTTTTGCACCCTTGTGTGCACTAAACAGCAGATACTTATAGAAGAAGTTTTAAAAGCGTCACCTATTGTAACTCACGTAGGGTCTCCATTGTGAGGATCTCAATGAGATGTATGTATTCTGCAGTAAGCTTGGTATTAGCAATCTTGTGATCTAATATTCACCTAATTAATAAACTAACTCAATGTCTTGCATCTAATGTATGTCTTGTTTGCTATAATTAAGCCTCCTCACAGAATAATCTAGCTCTCTAGATGGCTACCTTAGGAATTTTTAATTGTGTTCCCTTGAATTTTCTAAGGTGAATTATATAAGTACAATTCCCAAGACACTAGGAGACTTGAAAATTCCAACTAAGTGCAGTACTATATTGGAATAATGAGAGTCTAATTCCTTTTCACAGTACATATATCTTACATCGGTATGTGCATATATACCTTTGATTCTCTCATGATCCCAAAATCCTTTTTGGACAGACTTCCCTCTTCATTGGTACCCTTTTTTTCTCACCTGTATATGTGAATTTGAAGGGGAATTTAGCGAACACAAAGAAAGAACTGTAAAACCTTCCTGAGAAAGTATACATGTTGCTTACTCATTATTGAGCTCCTGAGTTGATTGAAATTAACAAAAAAAAAAAGAGAAAAGGTTTTTATTATATAGCAGATCTCTATATTCTGTGACATGGTATAAGATATAATTTTTGCAAAGAAGAAAGGCCTCTTTTTTAAATCTTGGTTTATTTAAATTCTTGAATCAGATATGGGGAAAATAATTCATGCCATGAAACTGCTTGTACAGAAGCTTATGCATGCCACACCAGTATGAAGTGCCAAGCTGGCACACTGCTCTATTTTCCACCTATCCAAATGGAATTTAGCTAAGCTGAGGGAAGTGCCAGTTTCACATCCCTGAGTTAGAGCTGAAATCCTGAGTCATGTCGAGCAAAAATTCTTTATCATTCTTTTATGGAGGCATGCTGTTGTCTCTGGCTTTTGTAAGGTTGTGATTAGTCAAACTAGTATGAAATCTAGCATCAATCCTCAATAGTTATTTAACTCCATAGATAGTGACATGTTCGCTGATGATAAGGTAAAGGGTCTGTGTGTACCGAATGTGTTATAACTTGAGATGATGCTTATCTCTAGATTATTGTTCTTTTTTGATGGAATCTAATCTCTAGACTATTTCTCTATCCTTGCCATGCATTATGCTGCCAATGCGCGGTTGTAATTATCATCTAGTATTAACTACCTTTGTCGTTTGGAGATAATGTTTTGTATCCGTTTGCTTGTCGATACTCTGAAATTTCTGTTCTTGCCCATCCTTGATGAGAATCTGGGATGCACACCTTTCTTGACTTTGACAGCCTACTACTTGCTTCAAACAAGTATTATTAGCTTGACAACCTTTATATGCTTTGATTCAAGTATCTTCTAAGTGAAGAAGTAGCCATAAAATATGTGTTCTCCTGAAGTTTTTTTTTTCTGACATGAGACTAATTTTACACGCTTGATGTGTGCAGTGCACCATGGTGCCAGGGACGAAACAGGCGGACAAGTTACCAAGAACCGTGTGAGAAACTCCAAGGTAGCTCACTGATCACTGGGTCACCATCATAGTCACATGCCATCATTCTTTAACCAAAGCTTTCAGACTTGCCCATTCGTGCATACGGTGCTGCACTGCTGCGTTGGGCTCGTCAACAGAGCTTCCACAGACATTGATGCGAAAAACCTGCATGGATCCAAGTGCTTCCTTCTCATTCCCCCCTTGCGGCCAGAAATAAAAAAGAAAGGAAAAAAAAAACATGCAACCCAAAATCCCATGGGCCATGTTTTCCAAACCCTGTCCTCCAAGCACCCAACAGTGCAAGAACCTTAGGGTTAATGAAAGGAGAGGTCACTAATAGTAGGGGTTTATAGAGGGCTCTAGGGTCAAATCTCTGGGCACGTAGGCTAGTGGTCGGTTTGTGTCGACCGACGCAAGTTTCAATTGAGAGTTTATACTCATTCTTGTACTACATAGCTTCTTTAACCATGGTGGCGAGTCCCATTTGTCAGAAGTACTGTGGTAAAAGAATATTCAGGTTATTTTTTATGGTTATGCTCTTTTTCTACATATCACTTCCAGTGGCGTGAACTAATTGAGCTCAATGCTCATACAGCAATATCTGAACTCTGAAGCCCGAAAGGCCTCCTGGAATGCAGCTGTTCTTCCCCCCTCTCCTAGAACCGCACAGTGGCTTGTCTATTCTTTGCTTGACCTCGATCGGGCTGTGCCACTGCCACACCGCACGTACGGCCACACCCGCTCGTGCAGCGGCCTCTGCTGGATCGGGTGGGTCAAACGGACCCTTCCGTTTCAAGTTTTCTTCCTCCCATGCGGCCGGCTTCGGCGTCGCGTCGGCATGCGCGGCACCTCGCATTCCCTCCTCTGCAGACTGCAGTAGCATCCAGGATCCCATGTTTCCAGGGTTCAGACTCCCAATTTAATCCCCTTGTACTCTCGCCGCGGCTAATCGATGTGCTCAAGCGTGTTTGTTCGTGCACACACGCTGTGCTACCGGCCTGGCGCATCGGCATTGCGCCCGTGCACGTGTGGCATGGACAGTGGCTCCTAGGGCCCAATAAACTTGGCGTCTCAGCCAGAGCTCAGCAGCATCCAGGGACCAACCAGGGTAGCAGTATTAGGCGCGTATTGATCAGAAGCTCTTTTTCTTTTGAAAGATTTCTATTATTAAACTTGAGTAGAATGCAGGCCTCCAGCCGCATTTCTATGCTGAATATTTCTACCATATAGTACTACCTATGAAATGACATTGCAGACTGCACTTACTGAAAACCGGAGCATATGTGTTTTTTTTCCTTTCCATTTTTGTCCCTTCTTTCCATAGGTGTGTTGACTCTAGATTCCAAGGGTTAAGCCAGAATTAGTACTACCCCTACGTAACAAGTACATGATGTGTGGATGTAAAACCAAGTCACGCTACGCTCTCCCATTCCCAAACTGGGGAAAACCAACGAGGACGATGAGTAGTCCGCACTCCACACTTGTTACACCAAGAACAGCGCCATGGAAACACGGAGGCCGGGAACCAATTCGCGTCGGCTGGGAACGAGGCGAGCCAAGGAAAAAGATATATATGCCCAACACGGAACGACACGAAGATAGCGTGCCAGTCGCACTCTCACTGTGCTTATTACCACGCACGCATGTACGATGCAATGGGACGCTGTGTGTGGCTGCCCTGAATGGGACTTCGTATGCGTCCCTTGTGAGTAAAGCAAGTGTCACCGATATGTATGTGCTTGACTTTACAGTACTCATAGGTGCTGTACGTTTTGCAAGATTCCATGCAGTCAAACTTCCATGTTACTCGACCTTTTTCTTGGTCAGACCACGCAGTACCGAGTTCAGGCCCTGGAGATTTCAGAATTGTAACTTCTCATGTCCATTAAACTCAGTGCTATAGTTGTAGTACTGCATGAGGTCAACTGGAACAAATTCTGATTTGAAAAACAAAAATGCATCCTATTCAAAATTGCAAAAAGTTCATTATTCTAGGCCTGTTCAATCACGGGTTGAGCGGTTTCAGCTAGTTCTCCAATAACCCAGACCGTGGTCCGTGGGTGGCCAGCTTGCTTGGGTTGGTACGGTTTTCATGGTGTGCAGGGGATGTTGATTGGATTGGGTTGCTCGTATGAGTTTAATGTTTGAAACCAGTTATGGCAGCTCCAATGTGTATACTAAGAGCAAGTATAATAGCAAGCTATAAACCGGCTAAATGCTGAGATAGAGGAGAGAGAGCAGAAGCGGGCTGTAAGCTTACAACCGGCTTAGACACAAGAACCAAAAAAATTTATAAGAGAGACAAGTGGACCATATTATTAATAGTGATGAGCTAGCTAGTATATAAGTGAGCTAAAAAAAGGCTACAAATAAATCTTATAGCCAGCAGCCGGCTATATTACCAGTGTTGCTCTAAGAAGACGCGAGGAGGAAGAACGAAGTAGAAGAGGTGCAACACGGTTGGAGCAAAGGTGCTAGCTTAGAATCTGTATGCATCTGTAGCTTATTTAGGTACCGATATAAAGAATAAACAAATAATACTTTTTGTCGGCCTATTGAAAGAATGAGAAGTGGGTGGAGAAATTCGTTGGTCATGATAATATTTTACCGTTTAATGAGACTGTTCGTTTTGCTGATATTTGACTTATACAGTTGCTTATACTAAAGTGTTGTGAGATGAAAATACTGTTCGTTCGCTGAAAAGTATTGCTGAAGTAGTGATGAAGAATATGATACTAGTAGCATGACAAGAAATTATATATTGGAGCAAATTTTGCTAGTATAGAATTTGATGACATGGTTTCTTTTACACCTTGCTAGGTAAACGTTAAAGTTGTCCTTAGATGGTTACTCTGTTCCAATGTCCTTTGGCTCCGCTGCTCCATGGATTTGCATGGCAGTGATATCAAACATTTGATATTCTAGATCAACAAAAGCAGATAGATTCGAGAAGAATGACATTATTTTTGGACGTGTTTTAGAAATTGTTGGGGATTTAATTTCGCCAAGAAAAATCAGCCCCTGAAACTTTAGTTGAAATTGTGATTTCTGTAACAAAGTTTACTT